ATTCGGGCTTGCAGGTGTTACGAGCCAACTCCGGACATGGAACAGAAGCATTGCCCGTTTGTAGGAACGAGAAGGCGCGAGGTTGAATTTGCCCCACCGACCGGTTGGTCGTCGGAGTTAGGTGTTCCCTCTTATGAATAGCTCCAACGTGACTCTCACGAATGATCGGAAACGACATTCCCCACCTTCCTCCGCTACCCGACAGTTGTCGAACATCGCTCAGACGTGTATCGATGGCCATTTGTGCCTCTCGGCGGAGGAGCCGGGGGCAAGATGACAGAGGTCAATATTGCCCCTTCTCTCTGAAGGTCGTTGACCCAGGCCGGGTTGGTGTCCCTTGAGGTTTTATCGCCGCTGGACAAAACCCGTTCTGCTTTGTAGTTTGTGCTCGCCGATGTGTCGGCAGGGTATGCGTACAAAGACGTGCCAGTCTGTCGAGGAACTCGGCACCACATGTTTGCTGAAGAAATCGAAGCGCTTTCGGCCCACGTGTGTTTCTGCATGACTTTAGCATGTGGGAACTTTAGTGCGGTTGCGTGAACGTGCCAGTAGTTGGTGGATCGGAGAACCCTTGTACGGGGATGAATCGATCTCGATCCCGAAACCAGGGGAATGGCAACCCCGGAGGTTTATATTAAGGCGAAATCTGGTCATGAGCACCACACCGCAAGTGTGTGTAGGCACTTTGTGGGGTCAACAGTTCAAGTGGTCAGTGGGTTTGGGTGTCTGAACCTCCTTCTCGGTCTTTCTCTTTTGCCACCACCACTGTTTGTGTTGTAGGGCCGGCTGGAAAATGTCGTATTTTTTGTTCCGACCTGCGTTAGTACTGAACAGAGGTTAGGAATGTTTCGCACATCCTTTTGCGACGGAAACGCAACACAAACGTTGGCACAAACAGCATCAAGGCATTAACCTCACCTTCCAAGTGCACTCCGCAGCTGCGGGATCGCGATTCGTGGGTGTAACCACTTGGCTTGCTGCTCGAAACAGATTCTGGCCCTCCCGTCAGGGCTTTGTGTGCCCGAATGTTTCTTTAGTACATGTATTCTGGTACCACTCGTTCTCGAGATGATGTTCGTTCTTGCTTGTCTTGAGTGGGATCGAAAAAAAACACGAGTTTTGGGAGTACACAATCGCTTTCAATAATCAACTTAGGTGCAGTCACCACGAGCATGCAATCACATGCGCCCACTGCCCTGCACCGTCCTGTCCATGAAGAGAGACAAATCTCTTGAACTTCGTTCATTACAGTGACGCCCTCCTCAACCGGTGGGACTGGGTAGACATGCATCGTAA